AAATAACCCTTCACTAAGAAAATAAAATCTTAAAATTCTCAGATGATCTTTCATAACAAATAGCAACAAATTTTATTCTGATTCTGTATGTACTTCAAAAACGTTCTACAGCGGTATTCAACCTGCTTCAAGCACTAATCTTTGGTGTTAACACAAAGAGCTGGGCATAATCAAGCAAAATCATGCCTGGCAGGTAGTCCAGATGGCAGTGAAAACATGCTGTGCTAGTATCAGTGTGTCTTGTATTTCTCTTACACAAAAGGTTGCTTTCCGCTCAGTTTTGGATGGGGAGTCACAGGGATGACTATTTTAACTTATTTAATTATAAATTATGTCTGTTTTTCAAATAAACAGATTTTGTACATTGCTTCTCTCATATATAGTTGTAGTGAAGAACAATATTCTTTTGAGAACTATTCACCCGCAGGGGCCCTGCAATGACCTAGAACCTGTGTCCTCCCTCATGCAAAGATCTAATTTTTGTTAATGAGATTGCCTATCTCCATCACTTTGCCTTCACAAAAAGCCATGGGAAGAACATGTTGCTTTCAAATCAGATAAAAGGGGCTGTGACCACCATATGAGAGAAAATTTCTTGTTCCTTGACTAGTTTTCAGAAAGTCTGGGTTACTAAGTGTTTCACTAATAGCTACAAATATTGACTCTGCCTGAAATGATCAAAATTGTTGCTGGATAGTGGAAAATAAATACTAGTGTCTACCTCAAATAATGTAGCATTCAACTTTAATTCCCTGGAAGTAGGCACATGGCACTGTATATTTCAATTTAGTAGGGGTGTTCCACACCAACTCTTCTACAATGAAAAACACCAAGATCTTGAGTGTCCTGGAGTTAATAAAAGAAAAGACTGAGTTCACATGGGTTAACTACAACTAAATTAAATATTACTACAGGATGTTCAGTTATTCAGCTCTTGCATACTCTGTTTAAAATATGCTAAGGCTCACAAGAGACATGATGATGAGGCTGTACCCCAAAGGGAAAACTCTATGTTTCTTAAGAACGGGAAACTGCACTGTGCAAAGAAAGAAGACAGGAACTGAACAGTTTTGTAGAAAAGGTTAGAAAATCTGGTACTGAAAAACTTCATACCTGGGTTTAGTTATGAGAAACCTTTCAGTGCATGAGGCAGCTATATTCTGTACTGCTTAACTAGCTCTATGCAATTTTATTTCATATTTATTTCAAATGGTTACAAATGTCTTCTTTCTTCTCTCCCATAATTCCCTCCTCATCTCAAGGTCTGTGTGTTCCTCTACATCATCAATATGTTGGGGAAATTTCCCCTAGGAAGCTACGTGGATTTGCAAACTCTACTGCCTCTTTCTTTTGGTCACTGGGAAAAGCCGTAGGGCAAATTGTAGGACAAAGGTATAATACAATTCATTTCCCACCCAATTCATTTCTGGATCCCCTCTACCTTTTGTTTCATCCTCTGCTTTTCTATCTATTCCTTTTTGTCCTCAAAAACCAACTCAATGAACTTTTATTCTACACACGTGTTTTATCCACTCCAGGGAGCTGCTGGGCAGTCAGTCCCTGTGGCCCATCCTGATGGCCTCCTGCGGAATTCCAGCACTAGTCCAGCTGGTCACCCTGCCCTTCTTCCCTGAGTCCCCACCATATCTCCTCATGCAAAAAGGAGACCAGGAAGGCTGCAAGAAAGGTAACAGAGGGCTCCAACTTCCTGTTCCTCACTTGGAGTTCGATTGGTTTGTGACGTTTGCTCTCCCCATGTGGAAAAAAGTAAATGAGATAAAGTTTTCTCCCTGCTCACTTCTAAGATGACTCTCTAAGAACCTACTAAGTATATTTTGCTATAGTCCCCAGTAGAACATAAAACTATTTCTTGCTGCAGTTCTATACTACAAAATCATTTGTTTTCAGCTGACACTACCAGAACAGTCAGTTTGATGGAGTAATGCCAAATAGCTGTTTGCACAGCAGGTCTCCACGGGGCACCACTGAGCTCTGGTTGTTGGCTGTGCACCCTGCTCACACCCTGATAAGGGGAGGAAAGTGGGCCCATGGCCAGGGAGGCAGTCATCATGCACACCTCTAGGCCCCTCTGTCTGAACAGGCTGTGCAAGAGGACCAGAGCTCTGGAACACACTATAGGACACCATGGCCTACACCACAGACACAGCCCATGGATGTCTGTACTGACAGATTCATGCATCAGCTCCTCAATAAACTCCTTAGTCAACAAACAATAGAGATGAATTAACATGGCAGATATCGCTCTCCTTCTCCTCCACAGCCATAAGGCAGCTTTGGGGTGAAGGCCATCACCAAGCAGAGATTGATGACATCATGAAAGAGAAGGCAACAATGAAAAACACCAAGATCTTGAGTGTCCTGGAGTTAATAAAAGAACCGTCTTTCCGTTGGCAGCTGTACATGTTAGCTACTGTGACAGCCACAGTTCAGCTATGTGGCATCAATGCAGTTGAGTGTATTTCCCCTTTAAAGCCTCAAAAAACTTATTGACAATCTTAAATGAGATGTCATGGCTCCCAGGAGCCCCCTCATTTTCCTCAGGCTTCTTCCAGCTACCACTTTCTGACAGCTAACTCCCTTTCAGGGCAGAAGCAACAGTCTGCAGGCCTTAGCTGGGCTCCCCATGTGACATCCCTTTTGCACTGCTCTTGGCCCTTGCTGGAGTTACCTTTCCCAGTAGTTAGGCTTATGTTACAGCCATTTTTGGCAGCTGTAGTAATGTAAAAGGAGCAGAACCTGCTCCTACAGATGAGCCCTGCCTACACTGGCAAAATCTACAGTGCAGTTTCTTACTGCTCCCTGCAGCTGCTGCCATTTGGCCCGTGACTTTTAGCATTCTAAGGCACACACTTCTGCTGGGATGGTAGTATGCTCACTCTAACTTCAAAGCTAATCAAGGAGCATGCTTACTGTTCTGCAGTTCTCTCCATCTTCCTCACATCAGCACTCCTCTAGGATCATTTTGGAGCCACAGCTTTACAACTGTCTGCCTGATTCTTCCCTCTCTAACATAGTAAGGCAACATCTGTAAAAAAAAATAAAGAGCTGAGTGTAACACAGCCTGAACTGGAACCTTTATCACCTCAGCACATCTCCAAAGAGTAGCAAGTATACTTGAAAAAGAAAGGATGCTTGTTTTACCCCTACATGACTCCATAAGCCATGCTCTTCTGTCTTGGGAAAGAAAAGTATTTCTTAGAGTGATTTTTTTTAGGATGTGCTCCAGAAGTGATAATTTACTCTTTCTGAAAGCACCAATATCAGGTCTCTGCAGACCTAATTACACTGTAGCAGCTGAAGGTCCTTTTATCACAGCATTTATCTTTTATCAAACTAACTAAATAATAATATTTTACAATGTTTCTGTCTGCCAATAAGGTGGATACTACAAAGAGTGCAGAAGTCTAGCTCGCTCCAAAGCTGAGCAGCACGTTCCTTGGTTAGTAGCTCCTATATGGGGCAGTGTCACACAGGTATGGGTAAGGGGTCATTTACTTTGTTCTCTTACTGTTTTTTTTTTCCCTAGATCTATTTTTATACTTTTGAAGTCCTCCAGGCAGCTGGGTTTGATGAAAGAATGATCTCTTATATGTCCCTCTCTGTTGGACTCTCTGAACTCTTAGCTACTGTAGTCTGTGTAAGTCATATTACTGTGGGAATGGGTCAGATTTTGCTCTTCTGTCTCCAGTCTGTGAATCTGATTGATTGGTATAAGTGTGATTTCTGTCCCTCAGAGCTCCATTATTGAGCGATTGGGCAGGAAGACGCTCATGTCAGGAGGCTACTGGATCATGGGTTTACTGCTAGCTGGTATCACAATGACTCTCTCCCTACAGGTAAGGAAGCTCTTCTCATGGCAGATCTCTTTATCAATTGTATTTCTAGCCTCTGCTCACAGGTAGGACCATGCTACTAAGGAAAGAAAGTGAGGCTTGGAAGTTCCAAAATAACTGTGGTGCTAATGGCTTACCCTCTTGGGACAGGTGGAGGGGAATAATACGAAGAGCAAGTTTGTACATAGGCCTAAACCTCTCTCACTAAGTACTCTCTGTACTTCTGCCTCCCTTTTGACATGACCCAGTGAACTCAGCAAGGAGTACATAAAGCACTGGGAGTCGAGCACTGATTCCTGATTTCATTAGGCTGGTCAGCACAGGTCAAAAGACAGTCAAAGGAAAACTGTCTTTTTCATTTGTGCAGTTCTTAACATGATAAGTGACACAATAAAGAAAACAAGACTCCTTGCATCAGTTAATTTGAATTTTAATTTTAGTGTAGACACTGGGAATTGACATATTTGTTCACAGACCGGAGACAATCTGCCAGTTCCTCTCTATAGTAGTGTGTCATTTCTGCAGCTTCTTCAGGAGCAAGTTCTTTGGGTTACTAGCATTCATCCAGGAGCTACTCTATAGACATTACTGCAAAATTACCCTGGAAGCAAGGTGACAATAGACTTGCATTGCTGTTTCATTCACAAAAGATCTCAAACATATGAGAGAGAAATCCTTTCCTAAGGAATCAAGCCTCATATATTTTTGACTAAGGTTGAGGAAGGTTCCTTTTCAAGAGAAGTTATCAAAGATATTGCCTAACAAAAGCAAAGAAAGATATGATTTGGCCTTTCCCATATTTCTAAGGGTTGTGGGGAGCAACGGCATGAAAGAGGAGGATGGACAGTGGAAAAGTACTATTCAGGCAACTGTTAATTGAAGGCTTCCAAGCTTGACAGCTGCTCTGCACTAGCAAACCTGCTTCTCTGCTCACCCGACAAAAACCTCACTGTTCCATCCACAGGAAATAGCACTCATATTTCCATGCCAGTTCCTACACACCAGATTTTTTCTTGAGGTGACAATGCTGGAAAACAAGAACATTTCTCCTCTGCAATCACTAACAGATATCATCCAGAAGTTTGTTTTTTTTCCCCAGGACTGGTATTTCTGGATGCCATACTGCAGCCTTTGTCTGATTATCTTGTTTGTAGTCGTCTTTGGAGTTGGGCCAGGTGAGTACTTCATTCAAAAGAAATAAGGGAACCAAGTCATGTGAGCTTATTAATATGGCTGGGAAAATATTGCAAAATAGTGCATAAACATTTAGCATGAACAATTCCATTTCATCTAGTCTTGTAGCCATTTAAACATCGTGGGTCCAGTCATCAGCTAGAAACTTCAGTGTCATCAGGTTTGGGTTTTGCTAGCAAGAGACTGAGAGACTGAAGAAGGAAGACAGCAAAAAGTACTCACTGGAAAAAATACAGAAAAAATAGAGCAAAACTAGATAGGTAAAAGATTTTTTTAGAAATACTAAAAAAAAAGAAAGAGAAAGAAAAGTGAGAATTGTTTTAAATTCAGCATTGTATAACTTTACATCTTATCCCCCATGGACAGTAGTGCAGAGGGTCTGCTTTAAAGTGGTTCTTTTCCTAATATATTCTACCTGCTTCTCTTTAGTTTAAAAAAGCCCATTTGTTCTAAAATGTTTCCTTTCCCATATGTCAAGGTTGAATTGCTTTCCTAACACAAAGATGTTGTAGAAGTCCTGGGACTTTGAAACATAACTGATATGCCCAGGAAGTGAATCCAGGAAGATCATCCATTGGTGACCTAACAGTATCACATGGGGAATTCTTATTTAGTAATAAGAATTGTTATGCCATCCTTATGCAGCATTTTTCATGATAAGATGTCTTCTACAGACTTAAGACTTCTACAAGTGTTAACTACTTAATTCTTGAACTTCCTCAATTAATTTATTTGAATAAATTACCATTTTAAGAAGCTGCTGTTTAGCAGTTTAGAAGATGCTGCAGATATTTCCTCTTCTAAAACACAGCAACATATTCAAGTATTTTGAATGCCAGTCCATGACAGTAGTCTATCTGTTGACTATGAAAAGGTAAAACTCAATCCAAATGTTCAAATCAAACATGTTGACAAGTAATAATAATTCTTATTCCTCTTTCCTTTCAGCTGGTGCCACAGTTTCCATTAGGGTTGAAATCTTTAAGCTATCATGCAGACCACCTGCCTTTGTGATCAGTGCAGCTCTCAACTGGCTGGGAGTCTTTGTGATTGGAACAGCCTTCCCATTCATTGTGGTGAGTGACTTTACCTGGGACAATCCTCACTACGCTAAGCTCCAGAGCTGGCCACAGGAGCAGGAAGAAGAAAGGCAGGAGATGACGATGCCGTGTCAGTCTAGAGTAGTCTTGTCACCTGTTCTCCTGAGTCCACTGTCACAACTGAAGGGTCCAGATTTGCCCAAGGCACTGATTCAGACTCAAATATTTGTCAAAGTCCAAAATGCAAAAAAACTCTTAGCAAGTTCAAACTACTTAGGGACACAAAACACAAAACTTCCCTAAAGAAAGTGACAAATCAAAAGATATGCTCATCTCAGTCTCTTATTTTGTTCTTCCCTGCAGGAGAGACTCCAGCAGTTCTGCTTCCTCATCTTTATGGGGGTGCTTTTCACTTCAGGGATAATAATCCACCTGTTCCTTCCAGAAACAAAAGGAAAGTCAATCATGGAAATCACAGAAGAATTCAACAGGTTAAACTTTAAGAAGAGGTGTGTTCCAGCAACTCCAAATCATGTCACTGAGGATTATACCTTCTGCACCAGGCTTTGACTGGCCATTAGGGGGAGTCCGGCTTTCTTAAAAGGAAGAAAAAAAAGACATCTGTCATTTCCTGACTTACAAGCCAGTTCAAATGATTGTCAGTTTTCTTATCTATCACTTAAAAGGTTTTCATTTTGCCAAAACAGCACATGTTTCTCAAGCACTCCGCTCTGGACAGTATGGAAGAGAATGATGTTCGATACTAGCATCGGCTTAATTTGCTGAGTGTAAATCTCCTTTATAACAGGGCAATTAATACACACTGAAACTATGTTTAGAATTTATGAACACACTGCTGGCCACAGAGGAAGGGAAGACCTGTGATCCCCTTTCTGTCTGCGATTTATGTGTGTTTTTACAATGCTGGGATGAGAATAGTGGAGTTCTTGGCTTGCTGTCGATGGCTAGGGTTCAATCCATGACAGATTGAAGAAAAAATTCAGTGGAATAGGAGAGAAATTCTTTGTCTCTTTAGACTCAAATCAATAGTCAAAGCTTGCCAGGTTTCTCTGCATAAGGTCATGTTTTCTTTCTGTTGTTTCTCGTTTGTCAGACTTCAACCCATTGGGATTGAAATTGTCCATGTTAGCAGCCCTCCGCAGTTTGATTTTATACTTTATATTAACTTTTTGATAGAACAGTTTAGTCATTTGGTTCTAAGCTCAGACTTGTTCATAAAGAATTATGGGTAAAACGTTCCTACACAACTCTTCTGAAAGGCTTGTTTCAGTAGCAATACAGCTAAAGGACTCGTGGGTGAAATCCATCTGCCAAGAAATAGAGAGACCTACAGTTATTTTCAGATCTTTGTTTTGTCTTGCCCAGCACCATCTTCAGCCTGTGTCTTCCTCCCAGGATCACATAACCCATAGCTATCTTACGGGCTTTGAATGTCATAACAATTTAACTGCTTCTTTCTGCTATCGCTTTGTGTGACTTTTGGCTAGCCAGACCCAGGTTAACCCAGAACTGCCCCAGACTGGAATTCTTGACTGTATCAGAATATCTGTTGCTTTTCAGTCTGTACAACATCTTCATGTAGCAGACTGCCAGCAAAAGCTAAGTCATGTCCTCTGGATACATGGAGGACCTCTTTTTGGGGTGTATTGCTCTGTCATGACTAGGAAGTGATCCCATAGCCTCATATTTCAGGGATGTGCAATCAGTACCAACTGTTCATTTAGTGTCCAGTGCAGCATAGTTACTGACTGACAGCTGTAGAGATGACTGTAAATATTTTATGCCCTGAATACTTTGTCAGATCCATACAGCCAGAGATTTACAGTGAAAGTGGGAAATAACGCTAACATAAGGGACTTCTAAGGCACTCATTTTAGCATTTCCAACAACAATTTATGGTTTAATCAACAGTCCCTCATAGGAATTCTGCCAATTTTTGCAAATGTCTAGCGTGCACAAAGATAAGGACTAAAGTGAGAGAATATGTTAAACCTATCATATGCATGTTTTCTAACTTCCACATATAGCACCGCAAACTATCCCAAATGATTGCAGTTGTAGGAATGGATGCAATATAACATTCCATGCTGAGCTATGATCAACATCTGTGCCTGTGTTCACATCCTGCAGGCCTTCAAACTGCAAATGATCTTTAAGGCAATCTGAAAATCAGTTCCTAATTCTTCCTCTTCCTGCTGTATACAGTTAAAAGTAAAAATTGTTTATGAGCCTTATAGGATAGCATGATCTTATAAAGTATCACAGGGATTCATTTCACCAGAGACTTTTTTTGCAACACACAAGCTCGCAGGACTTTGCTTTTCTTTAGAAAGTGTCTAATTTTCTGCACATTTCTCTTTGTTAATGGGAGTTTTATATGGTCCTAGTAGCAAAGTGGTACTTATATTAACAAGAACATGGAAAATACTAGGGCTCACAGTGGAGCTCAACATACAAATTAAAAACGAAGTACCAGACTTTCACAGTAAAATACATATTTTTATCTGTGATATTATTTTGACTGCCACACTTACTTCAACTCATATGAGGCTATTTAAAATATGAATTCAATTGTTCATCTTAACTGTTGCTTATTTCTAACTGGAAATATTACATAATAAAAATGGCAGATTAATTCATCATAAAACTTCTGGCCTCCATGAATGTGTCTTTCCCAACATCAAGACCTTCCTAAGGGACACCTGGCTAGGAAAAAATCACTCCCTCTTTGGTGTGCACACCCTTCCATTATTGGGGTTTTCCACTATTCCTGTCTTCAGGATTGAGGGACACTTAAGACCTACCAATAAAAGATAATCTACAAAACATGAAGAGTCTGTAAAGTCAAAAAAGGCCAGTTATTTTAAAGTGCTTCATATAACAATACGGTTAAAAATTACCAGCGATTTGGAGATAATTGCCAACATAGAAAGGAAATCTCAACTTTTGCAAAGCAGAATTCTCCTTTCCTAGTCAGTCGTTCTGAAAATATCCTTAATTCCATTGCAACAATACTCAAAGTCTTTGGAAATAGAAAAAGAATGGCATCATGTAGCATTGCTTGAGTGACTCATTTCTCTCATCTTAGTTATTCATTAGATGTTATCAGGAAAGCCTTCCCCGTAAGACCCTCACCAGGAAGTGAGCAGGTGATCTGTGGAACATTAATGGGACAACGAAGTGGAACAGCTATTTGGAACACAGGTCAACCTTTGTCTGTGCTCAGTGGAGCAAGGCCATATTCTGGTAACAGTCTGTTCAAAGGATGAAACAGCAAAAAGGATAGCATCAAATATACACAGCGAGATTATCTGCAGTACCTGGTATCACGTGACACAGTGGCTAGATATATTGACATTTCTGCTCACATATGTAAATCAGAGCAATTCAGGTCTCCTTTCCTGTTTTTGGGTCATAAGGACAATGAAAGTTGTCAAAAACCACCTAAAAGCATCCCAGAGTCTTCTGAAAAGGAATAATAATGACCATGGCATATCACTGATATTTCAGCGTACTGTGAATGGCCAGGCCAGTCCAGAGAGTCAGAGACCTGCATGCACTCTCAGAGGTGACAGCAACAAAGAAAAGGATAGTCATTCAGAAGCTATGGGAACAGTACATGAACGTTTTCTTTCAGAGACATCAGCTGATAGGTAAGATATATATCAAATGCTAACTCTACCTGAGGCAAACAAACCCTTAAAAACTGAATCAGTGAACTGCTGTCAGCTAGACATAAAAAGCACACCTCTGGGCTAGCTGGAAGGCGTAACATAGCCTTACATATTTGGTCACGTGACTGTAAGGTTGCAAGATAAATGACCAAATACCTGATGTTATGAGACTAACTGTCCCAGTCACAATTATGATTAAAGAATATCTGCAAGAAACTAGTTAGTACTAATTATGAATCTGCAGATCTAATAAAGGGGACCTCACCCCAGTGTAAGCAATAAAAGCACAGAAGCACTACAGTACTTAATCAACATAACTGCAAAAAACATTACAAGAGTATTAATTACCAAAAATAGGAACCTTAAAATTAAAGTACATAAGCAAAGACTAATAGTAACAATAAATATAATGTATAGTAAGTAGAAGTGGGTGAAACAGAACATAAGAAAACATGTGAAACAGGCAGTATTTGAGGAGGAATGTCCCAAGGTGACAGCTACATATTATTGCCTGCTTGTGTCTTACTGCCACACCATCTACATAAGGCAGATACTAGCAATTAACATTGCATCTCTCCTTTGTCAGATGCACATTATGTTGTTTAAACTTGGTATGACTTTAAAAAAATATATTAATTCTTAGTATCAAAGGGATGGTCTTGCTGCTCTGACATCAGCCTATTTGCTAGAGAACCTAATCTGGGAAAAGAAACGCCATGAACTTTCAGCTCATATCAACATTCAACTCCACTTTGAAGACCTCCTAACAGTGACAGAAAGGGCACAATACGCTACATTTCAGACATTAGCTAGAAGATCTGTGAATAGTCTTTGCATGTGATGTATAATTGTAGTAAATATGGCTACTTGCATCCAGCAAGCCCTTAACGATTTCTTCATCTTCTTTAACTGATGCGCAAAGGCCAAGTGATATCCAAGCCATTTAGCAACCTAATTCATACAAAACTCTCTTAACTATGAAGTAAATCAAGTTAGAGACTAAGAATTTTCCAGCTGAAGGAACAGATAGCACTCCACCTGTGGAGGTTACAGGATTGTTTCAAAGCAATCACTTTTTTCTCACAGACAGGAAAAGAAATACATAGACCAGTTGCAAATGCTAGAGAAAACTATGTTGAATCTTACTCACGCAGTAAAGTAAAAACAGCTAGTATTAAATATTTATCTGATAAAGCCTGCTGTGCTGCTGTAGGATAGTTAAGTTTATACCCCATTTCAGAATGATGGAGCATTTCAATTCCTTTAAGTAATGATTAAGTTCTGATGTGCTCCAGTTTCCATCACATGAAAAGAGAATAACTATTTCCAATTGTATGTCAAAGTCCTATAGTTCACTGCCCAAACACCATCTAAGATTCCCAACAGATAACACTGTCTCTCAATTCTCCAGCTTATGTTGAAAAACGAGCAAGCTTTGGTTACTGGAATCCTATTTAAAATTGCAATCTCAGTTCCCTAACCCCCTTGCACAAGACAGAGTTCATGAAGTGTAGAGGTTCCCCCCAAAGAAGACCATCTTGTTTACCTGGGCTAGACGTAACCATGGGTTGAAATATTTAATCCAACAATTCTAAACTTTGTACAACAGCTGAAATAGGTGTAATTAACTCAAAAACGTTTGAAGTAAAATTTAACTTCAATAACATGGGACTAGTTCACTAACACTGCTATTGCATAATGTGAGCATTTGGTTCTTTTGGCAGGGACTAGTCAGTAAGCAACAGGAATCAGCTCTTTTGTAGGAGATGGCTACCTTTTTCTCTGACCTGGTGAGTATCTGGTCACTTTTTCTTGTGGTCCTAACTTTTATAAAAGACAAAGCTAGCATAATGACAAAGATCCAGATTCCTTAAAAATTGTAAACTCTTCTGGGACAGAGGCCATTTTCTTCTCTTCTGTGTTTAAACATCACCAAGAATAATGGGGCTTGGGTCCCTGGAAAGGTCCTTTCAACAAGTGCAACAAGATTAAGTAAAAACTAATAGAAATCCTGGCAGCTCCACTACGACAAAGCTATTGTCTGATATACTGTGTTCTGATATACTGAAAATAATATCAATTAGTAGCCACTCTGATTACTTTCTATGATTACTTCCAAAGTAATGAATAGATTAACTGTACTGCAAAAGGCTAAGAATACATGACATAAACTTTATAAGAAATAAGCTGCTTCATTTCATCCAAAGATAGATAATATCATCTGTCAAGAGTTCCCATAGTCTCAAACAGGGAAGAAGGATAATGTATTTCTCACTCAATTTCTCAACTGCCAGCAAGAAGTTGTTTTGCTTTCCTTTGTTGATCTGTTGATTTTCAAAACTGTTGATTTGTGAGTTTACTGCAAAAACAGGAAGAGTGAATAGGTGAGTTATTAATATTTTTTGAATGCTTTTGTCAATTAGCAAACCCACTGAATTTCAGACAAGATTTTTAAGGGAATTCTGAGTCTTAAGATCCATTAGCTTCTTGCTTCTTGTCGTGGATAACTTGGAAAATCCAGCTGTGGGCTAATTAACTAACAAGCCCTTGAAAGATGGGCCAAAGCAGCAGAAAAAGGAGAGTTCTGAGTAACTCCCAGTCCAGCGTTATTAGCACTTGCATTACATTGTTCCTGTCTGACTGCACTTTCTATTAGCTCCTCTTCACCCAGGCACTGATCTCAAAAAGCTAACAGGAAGCTGTGAGACAGTGCAGTTCATATATGACAAAAAAGAGATGCAGAGCACGGTGTCCTCTATACAGACTTGGTGTTATTGTCCTGGCATGTAAATATGTTGAATAAAAAGGGAGAGTGAAGTAAACCCCAGCGGGCCCTGCACAGATCCTGAGAGGGCTAAAATAATGATTGTTCTAGGTTTGATCTGCTAGGTACAGTCTAAGCTAATGTAGGATGATTCCACCTTGCAGGTACTTGGAAGCAGGACAGATGGCCAGTGGTTTCACATACCTCAAAAAATGTCTAAGTAGTTATGTGTTACTTATTTTCCTTATTTACAGATAAAAAATCATTTACAGATAAAATTATTTCATTCATCAAAGCAGCTAGCCCATCTCCATCCCTAATCCCTGGCCAAGGCAATTATAGGTAGATACTATCGCCCTAGCCTGGACGATGCCACGCCCCTCAATATGCTAGCATCTGCTTTTATCGTTAAATAAGAAGGAAAAATAAAATACTGAGGAAGGAGAAATGAAATTACAAACCAAATTCAAGAAGAGTTTTGTATGAATGCAGTTACAGGGGCTGCTCCAAATTATTATCCTCTCTTTATTAAATTGTAGCCTATGACTTTCTGAAAAAGACAAATGGTAGGTAAAGAGATTCTTTCATTATTATGCTTAAAGACAGGACACAGGTAGAAATTAGAGCAGAGAGTACAAGAAAAAATTGTTGATTTTTAACGTATTGCTTTTGTGGCATAACGCTATGATTTGATATACATACGTTACTGCAGACTGCAGACAAGAAGACTGCTGGCCCTCTTCCCCATCCTGGACTGATGTGATTATCCAGCCAACCTGTCAGAAACTACAGTCATTCAGTCAGAGTTGTACTATCAGGAACATTTTGTTAATCTCTTTCTCCTACTTTCAAGCAAAGTGGTGGACTATCATCCTTATATTAGCATTTAGTCTTGCTATGGCACTGTGGCCAATGATTGCACTTTGGCAGCAGGTCAGAGAGCTTTCGGAAAAATGTTTACATCCAAGAGAATTTAAAGTGAACAATGTAGGTTTCCAGAGGGGAAGAGCAAGTGTGGCTAAGAAGACTCATAGCCCCGTGTGAATTTAGATTTATGAGAAGCTGATGGACCACTGTGTTTTCTCTTTGCAGGTTCAGCTCCGAGGACTATTTCAAATGATCTTAGTGCTGGGAATCGGTGGTAGTTTCCCATATGGATTCCATATTTCTGTGAT